GGGAAGCAAGCCCAACTCTTATGCTCATCATGCGTCTCTGTTGTCTCCGAGCGATCTTCACTGTTTTTTGGTCGAATTGCTCTATTGAAATCTTTGTTACTGTATCCATTCCAACCAAAGGCCCTTTCCAGGTGTTTAATTCTCTCTCTAACTCGGCTGGTTCGCAGATTCTTCTGGCTTTTTCGGTGATAGTTTTGATGACTCCTCTTTTCTGACTGGGATGATGGTTTGAACCACTGTGCAGGTACCGGTCGGTATGTGGCGGTTTCCTGTACACTGTGTGGGCCAGCTCTCCGTTGGCTTTTCTGGTCACCAAGACATCCAAAAAAGGCAGTCGCCCATCCTTCTCCACTTCCATAGTAAATTCAATTTTAGGGTTTATTGAGTTGAGGTGCCTCAGGAAGTCTTCCAGTTCCGTCAAACCATGGCCCCAAACAACAAAAGTGTCATCAACATAGCGGAACCAACACTTAGGTTTCCTCACGGCTGTGTCCAGGGAGTTATTTTCAAATTTTTCCATAAAATAGCTGGCTATCACTGGACTAAGAGGGCTGCCCATTGCTACTCCATCCGTCTGCTCAAAGAATTCGCTGATCCACTGAAAGTAGGTTGTGGTTAGACTCTAGAGTCTAGAACTAAGTGACTAGAACAATAAGTTCTTGGGCATTTCTTGGTGGATTATTCCGATAAAAATGGCTCTTGATACATAATCCCAGACGTGTTCGATGGGATTCATGTCAGGTGACATAGCCGGTCAATCTAATCTTGTGATGTTTCGGTTTTCTCATGCTTCTTGAACAGCTCTGGTGCGATGTGGCCTGGCATTGTCACTCATAAAGATAAACTGGTCCTCTAATTCATCACGTGGGGTTATAATTCTATGAATGATAACATTTGCAAGGTAATATGCACTTGCCATCGACCTCGATATGTGAATAAGTCTATCTTTCTATTGAACATAATACCCCCCCGAACTGCAACGGCTATATGAAGCCTATTTCGGCGTCCTGCTTCTCTCCAAACTCTTACTCGGTAATCATCGCTCACCAATCCAAACCGCGATTCATCCGTAAAGAGCCCATTTCTCCACTCTACCAATGGCCAGTTTTGATGATCTCGTGCCCATTGTAAACGGGCCCCTCGGTGGCGATGAGTTAACAAAGGAACTCTTAAAGGCCTTCTGGACCGCAATCCTGATTGTAAGTCTTCTGCGGATAGCACTGGATTTCACACGGTTATACGTTCTCTGGAACTGAGATATTAGTGCCGATAGCGTGGCTGAGCGCTCTCTACGGGATTGGGAAATATAGCGATCTTCTCGTATCGTGGGTACGTGAGGACGACCACTTCGAGGTCTGCTGTTCACTTGACCAGTCTCTTCATAGCGTCTAATTGTCCTGCTAACTGTGCTTCTAAGAAGGTTCAGCCTAGTGTAAATTTTGTGCCTAGATAAACCTTCTTGCCACAGAGCAATAATTCTAGTCCTATCAAAAGCTGACAACTCGTTTCTAGGCATGCTACACCATTCTTGCACGATCCAGATACTAATGCCGGCTACTAGTGATCAATATAAAGGTGCAATTTTTGCAGCATCACAACATTAAAAGGGGCAAAGATTTTTTTGTTTTGGAAGTTCCATCAGTTTCTTTACTGGTTAACAAGTATGTTTTATTTACCAATGAAACAATTTTGTATAAATTAAACGTATGTAGTAAATACAGGGGGAGGGGCAAGACTTTTGAAAGTGAGTGTATTTTGGGTCAATCAATACACTAGTTTTAAATAACACTGAATTTAAATAAAGCAAGCAAAAAGCTTGGTGTTGATTACGTGTTGTGTGCGCCAAATTGTTGGAGGTCGCACCTACATGATGACCCAGAAGTAAATCAGTTCTGCAAGTGCAAAGCTTTAAAGACATTTTCATTCATTAAGGAAACCGCTGGTAATGCAATGAAAAATTATTTACTTAATGGAAACTACGTTTCTTGTGGCTCCTTTTACCCACTATAAATATTCTTCATTCTATTTCAATTCCCATTGCTAACGTCTTAATAGCGCATGTTCGTGTCACGGTTTGCTCGTTATTTTCATGCAAAACAGGTCCTGTTGCGTTTGAAAAGTAAACGGACATTTGCATTTTTATAAACACGATTTCGCTGGAAACACGCACAGGCGACACAACACGTAATTTCCACAATAACCCATAACTAAAATGCCACTCAGCTGCTCTGCTGTATGATCGCTATAATTAAACGTCCGACTATTAATCGCTGGATTAACAGTTCCTTTCTTGTCTGTTCATTGTGGTTTATATTCTAGTTAAAGGATACTATTTAAGCTTTTCGGGTTATTTTCGTTCATTCTATGACAACATCTCTTCAAAGGCAATAAACGTCTAAAGCTCTCAGAACACGGCAAGGTTTTAGTTTTCACACGTTTTAAAAGCTTTCTGGTTGGTTTATCCTTTAAATTAATATGCAAACACTGCAGTTTTGTTGTGGGAAAAATTGATTGTTCGAGATTTTGATTTATTTTGCTATGGGGTGTTACTGATTGGCACAAGAATTAAATAAAATGTTTCCTTCTGACTGATACGGTGTTCATTGGCAGCTTGATAGTAAACCAACGCGCTCATCAAACAGCCCCAATAATCTTGATCCGAGATAAGCGAAAGTTATAGTTTTATTTGTTTTTGTCCGAATCGTATTCGCTTTATTACCCTTGATATAAGAGATGTAGAAATATCGTAAAATGTCATAACTTATAGGCTAGCCCATGCTTTAATAAGAAAACATCAAGCTACCCAGTCTTCCATTGAATTATGTAAGCTTGCCAGAGAATGTACAGATAGTTTAAATCGTTGATTAAGGTAAATTTATTGGGCTTTATCTCACGTGGAAAATGAATATTATGTATTAACAAATATGTGCATGCTGCATTTAAGCAAGGTAAATATCTCCACTGTGGTTAAAGTTGGAAGAATGTGCAGCTCGAAAAGAAGTATGACATTATTTGTTAGATTGAATATAACGTGAACATGAGGAAAAGCTTGCTTCTGATATGTGTTTAAATACACCCTACATACTAACTTTACTACAATATTACTGGAAGATTGTCAGCAAAGCTCTATTATCATTATTTGGAAATAACTGATTTATTTACTTTACTATGTTTATGTCTTGTAGACTGTAGGAACTTTTGTTAAAAACAACCTGCGGCTTTGTTACCCTCAGAGTCTCAATGGACTATGATGTCTTTTCAGGTATCATGGTGGAGAAATCAAACGCGAATAACTGATGAAACTCAGTATTTCCCAGATCGTGCCAAATCGCAAAGTATTCTAAAAATTGAGAAGTTGACAAGGTCTCATCTGCTTTCCGTCTACAGTTGCGAGGCGAACAACAGTAACAAACAACCACCTCTGGTAGTTCGAGTTGCCATTGACATGTACCTGCGACCTCTTGAGGTCGTTTTAGTGGGAAATAGTGCTCGGTTCAGTGCGGGAAAGATGTACAACATCACCTGCGAGTCCAGAGGATCGAGACCTCCAGCTTCGATCACCTGGTGGAAGGTGAGTTTGATTGACCATTTAACTAGAATAGCAATTTATATCCAAGAATAATTGGGAGTTGGAGTATTTAGCGGTCAAATAGTTAAAGGCAAATGTCGAGCTTAATCAACAATATCTTGAAGTACTACTTGTGTTTCGCATTTTTTTATATTTTCAAGAGAAGTTTGAGACTCTTCATAAGACCAAGTGTAACTTAGGTATCTTATGTAATCTAATGATGTGTTCAACATGGAAATCCAAAAACTTGTTGATATTCTTTGTTGAGTTTATTAGTTTGTCACCTCCATTCTGCAGCTAAATGAAAAGATTTATCGATCTTTCCTAGGTAGCCTATTGCCTTAAAAATGTTTAATACTCAGTACTCCAACTCCTGAGTAAATCCTTGACCCTACTGCCACGATTGAATTGAAAATTTTCAATTTCGTATTAATCTAATTTGCTCCGTATTTTTTCCTAATGTTCCGTAGTTCCTGATTTTTACATTCAGAAACATTTCGCTTCCATTTGTCTATTTATGTTTGAACACATCACAACCTGTCCTGAAGTTGAATTGCAATGTTGGAACTTTTTAGAGGAAGTATTTCGTTCAGTTCTGTCAATCTTGCGCCACTTTTCAAGCATTGTTCTATTTTATTCATCTTTTTATTATATTCGTTTACAGCCTCATACCAGATGGCAAGCGCTTCTTTTAAAGTAATTTCAACTATACTGCTTGTTTTCAAAATGAAATTGCTCGCTTACTGCCGCTAATACAGCGGTATAAATGAAATGGATGGCAGTAGTTTTTATGGGGAGGCGTAAAATTTTACGAATAAACCTTTCAGCGTTTTTAAATGTTCGTAACGAATGAAGGCGTCTAGTTTAAAAAGTTGTTTAAGTGATACATTTTGCAGTCAAATCAATAAAGTTTCGGAGTATTTGAAATGCAAAAAAAATCAGACTGAACATGCACCTGCACATACATTTTCTCATTTGGCTCAGTGCTTAGCACTATTAAGCCCAATGAATTATAATTCGTGAATACATGGAATTTCTACACGCATCAGATAGTTAACCGCCCAGCATGGGAAATACTACAATATAAAATAGACCATAGTTCTAAATAGTCTACATATACAAATATTGCTTCGTCGAATGTCTATGTTCAATATGCTCAAACAACCCAAAATGTAAATTGCGTTTTGCTGGTGGAAATTCTCTATTCATATGATGTGAGGTACACGAAAGAGAAGAAACGAGCAAAAACGGTTTTCAGTCACCGAGTTCCATGGCGTTTTATGACATATTTCGCCTATCGATCATTTGCGGAAATTATGATTATATTTGCATTATGTATGGCATTACGTATTATAATTATGTATGGGCACTAAATTGAATACTGAATAATGTAGAATTTGAAATAATTAGTGTGGTTTCTGTACGGAGGAAAATGTTTTTCTTCACATCATTTGGAGGTATAAAAGAAGGACATTTTTTGCAGAACATTTAATTTAACGTCACATTTAGATAGGACATAATGTGCCAAAAATCGCTGATATGAAGCCAGGCTTTCGCAAAGTCCACCAATTAAAATGGACAATAATAATATTAAAGTCAATACAAAAGAAGATATAATAAGTATTTCAAAATGGATTAAAAATGATTGTTTTAATGAGAGGCGCACTTTTGTCAACGAGCAAAGGTGTAGGGTTTGAATATGTATCTATAACTTAACATACAAAAAAATTGTATCTGATGACAGTTTAAATTTTAATTTCCTTGACTGGAAACCAATGAATTTTAGCAAATAATTTTCTGGTGAAACTAAAAAACATCATCGGAAATTTCTGTAAATTCGTGTTGCATTTAGAATTCCGTCACATCCCAACGTTCGATTTAAATGATCCCGATGTCCGTGGTTCCCAATAAATAGAAAAATATTTGCTAATTCTCATTTGGCTCTATTGATAGAAAGACCGACACGCTGATTAAACCGTAACTACACAAAACTCATTTCGAATCTAAATAGATCGAGTTCCCGAAACAACAACCGAATTGATAATGTAAGTGTACATGTTTGGCATCAGAGCAGTTGGCTTTATTTTCTGCTTCCCAAATGTATTCGAAAAGAACTCATTGTTTGGTTGGAACATCTTCTTATTGCTTGTAAAGCACACAATAGTTCTAGTTTTGAATCAGATCGTCATATTGTAGGGTCGGGAATTGGAGCAGCATTTTTCTGCTCTTTTTAGAGGAGAAAGAATAGTAAGAGAGTATAGGAGAAGTAGTATTTTAGAGTATCCTTTCCCTTTTAGACAATCTAAGATACCAGATGTGACGAATTATTGGAATATGCCGATGGCAGTCCAAGTTATTCTATGTGCAAAATTTCTAATCTGTTGTGCCATTGATCTCACAGGTTTGAACGTCTCTTCCGATGCGTATTTTATGCCTCAAATATTTCCAAGAACTCACTTTCTCAATCTGATCATTTTTAAACACACACAATCAGATGTTGCTTCAAGCAGATATAATAATGTTTTGCATTTACAATACAGTCTGATATCAAAACTATACCGTTGGCGAAACTTAGACGATTTGATATTTTGTCGTCGGTGTTTACATCCTTATCTTCAAAATCACTTCGCTTGCACATATATATTAATAATGTTAGGAACAATAAACTCTCGAAATACTATTATCGTAATCCACAGATTTTTCGATAAGAGTCCTAATAAATTTGTAAGCGTTTGTGCCGCATTCTTAAATTAATTAGCTTACTAGGGACATGTTCACATGGTATTCAGGCTTTCTAAATGCAATATATAATTTTTCTATTTTACTCAAATTGAGCCAAACTCTCAAATTCCTCCATTTATTTCTAGTGGGAAAAATTAGAAATCAATCACCTGCCACCGCTTCATTTAAATGCTATCGATTCGATCGGCCGTTGTTCTTCAACGAACGAAACATATTACAAATCCCCATTTCAAGCTTTTTTGATGGAAAACCCCAAAGCATTTTTTTGTTCCACGAAGGCATCAGGAAAATCGGTAATAAAATAGCAGATGTTTTCATAATCAATTTGTGTTGAAACAAAATATATTTTATGATAGAATATCAACACAGTTTAAATAGTTATATAAGTTTTGCAATTTGTATGTTGTTTTACGATTTTCTATGGGAATATGCCTTTTAGGTGTGCTAAAAATGGATGCTGCATATTTAGGCGCATAGCTTCTCTTCTTTATTTTCTTTTAGGCTAATTAAGTAACTATAATTAATCACTAAAACATATCTAATAGAAATAATTTCAGTTTGTTCGCTTCCTTTCCTTTAGCTAATGCTAAAAAAACAGTGCACATATAATTAAAATATGTTTTTGCTTCATACGCGTGATCCCAAAATCATACCGCGGAACTTTCAGATGTGATATTCGATTAATATGAAAGAATAAAGTCTTGCGAGTCACTAAAATACTTCCAGAAAACTGTGGTTTAAAAAAATGAATAAAGAATGCACCAATTTGCAGCAAATATACCAAACCATGCTCAGATTAAACGGAATTATTTTATTAATTAGTTCGGCTTTTATTAATTACTTCGACGACGTTGGGCATTCGAGATTGTTGACTTGATCTTTTCTATTAAACAAATAATAAAATAAACTAATATAAATAAAATTAAGAAGTGCTCGTAAAATTGGTTTTTATGAAACGCGGCATTCTCCTAGTATAATCCAACGTTAATTATATTCGTGATAGGTCCCAGTAGAATTTCAAATATATTATAGCTGAAAACTAAAATAAGTAAAATCCTGAACGCGAAACGGCCTGTTGTAATAAAAGGGTTAGTTATTATTCGCAATTAAGAAAATTGCATTTTCCTAATTAATTTTTTTAGTACCTTGCGACATGCCAAATATAAATTATCCTAGTATATTTAGTTTGGTTACATTGTTGTTATACATTTTGACTGAAAGGGATATTTTTTTGGAAACAGTATGTGCTTTGTATTGAGCCCTGTTGTAAATGTTTGCTGTTGCAATTATTTGATCATCATCATCATCGTCATTTTTGTGTCCACTACTGGACATAAGCCTCCTCCACTGTCTTGAGATATCTGGATCCAGTTGCCTGCACATCTCCTTAGATCGTTCATCCACCATGTAGGGAATCTTCCCTTGCTTCTTTTATCAACGCGCGGTCCATTTTGAATATTTCATGCTTGCTCTAATCTAGCCTAAAATGAGCCAATTCTTTTTCAGAAACCGGAATTGTGCTTTTTATTAGCATTTAATTATAGGGCCCAACGGTTTTTCCTACTCATATCAAAAATTATTTATTTGCCTCTGAGTGACTATAAGTGTAAGTTATTCTATAGATCAGTTGGCCTCAAACGATGTTAGAATAAATGCTGTTTTGCAAGGTGTTAAGGACACTTAATTTTTACAAACTTTAGTAATTTAAGCGGGTCAACAAACAAACAAACCATTGTAATTAGCTTTAAATAACAGTATCGAATGTGTACATTATTTTCAAATTTCTATATTTTTTATTCTGCAACTCGATGAAATGGAATTCCTGGATTTCATTTTTTCTACACTTCGATCCGTATTATTGAAATTTTCTTTCGTGTCAATTTATTTAAATGGCCAATTATGTACCAACGACACCATTTTTATCGTCATGAGCGAATCCCGGCTAGTGAGAAAATTCAAAATTATTTTCCGATACCACTCTGCTCGATGATGACTCTTCATAAGCTCTTGGAAAACTACAATCCGTTTGGAAACTAGGTTTACACTGCATGAAAGCAGTGCACTTTACTAAAAGCTTTTATATCTCTGCTTTTATATGTTAAGGTTATAAATATCCAAGCTAAAATAAATTGCAGACTGTGGGTGAAATAAAAGAACAATTCCAGCAACTTTACCGTTCAGAGTGTCCATATAAAATTGTCGATACATGCTCTCAAACTCATGGACAAAAGCAATAAAACCATATTACACTTGTACTAATC